CTTCAAAGCCAGCCCAGGCAGGAAAGTCCGGGAGACTTCAATAAACCACCAGAAAACTGGAAGTGGCGCTGTGGCTCAAGTGGAAGAGTATTCATCTGAGCTGAAAAGCTGAGGGACAGTGCCCTAGGCCCAGAGTTCAAACCCCACCACCTACCAAAAAAAAAAAAGTTTCAGGAAAAGTCCCATAAACAAAATGTGATAGCATGGAGGTGTGTACTTTATTTTTATTTTATTTATTTTGTTGTTGGTTCTGGGGCTTGAACTCTGGGCTTGAGTGATGTCTCTGAGCTTCTTTTGCTCAAGGCTGGTGCTCTGCCACTTGAGCCACAGTGCCACTTACGGCCTTTTCTGAGTAGTTTATTGGAGATTAGAGTCTCACAGACTTCCCTACCAGGATTGCCTTCAAACCATGATCCTCAGCTCTCAGCTTCCTGATCTCAGCTAGAATCAAGTCAGGAGCCACTGGGGGCTGGCTGAGGTGTGTATTTTAGATTGAGTGGTCTAGGTAAGCTTCTCATAGCTGAGACTTGAACCATCAGAAACCAGCCATGTGCAGATTTGAGGGAAGAGTGCTCTGGGAAACAGCAAGTACATGAGACACACAAAAGGAACATGACTGAGGAATTGAAGCCCAGGTGGCATATGAGGTTGGAGTAGAATAACCAAAGGAAGAAAAATAAATTGTGTCCAAGAAAGGATCATATAAAGCATTATATGTACTGAGAAGCCATTGAAGTACTAAGGCTTGGAGACTACTCGTGATTTAAACTTCATTACCACCTATAAAATGAAAGAGGATAACAGAGGAAGGTGGTATACCATCTAGGAGAAAAGCAGAATGGTCTGGGTGAGGTAGCTGGACTGGGAGTGCTGAGGGGAGAGTAGGTTTATTCAGGGTAAGTTTTACATGTAGAACCAGTGAGTCCTTCTGATAGGCTGATATGGGAAATAAAAGATAGGAGGAGTTCGGGATTTAGCTCAGTGGAAGAGCACTTGCCTGGCAAGTGCTAAGGCCATGAGTTTGATCCTCAGCTCTGGGGGAAAAAAAGAGAGAGCTGGGCACTGGTGGCTCACACCTGTAATCCTGGCTACTCAGGAGGCTGAGATCTGAGGCTCATGGTTCAAAGCCAGCTGGACAGGAAAGTCTGTGAGACTCTTACCTACAATAAACTACCAGAAAACTGAAAGTGGCACTGTGGCTCAAGTGGTAGAGCACTCACCTTGCACTGAAGAGCTGGCCTAGGGCCAGAGTTCAAGCCCCATAGCCGACAAAGAGAGAGATGGGAATGGCGGATGATAATTCAGGTGTTTGGCTAAAGTAACTTAGAGAAATTGAGGGAAGGAAGAAAGAGAAAAAAAAAATCAAAGCGTTATTTTCACTGCAGGTTTCTCTACCCTGTTACTGAAAAGGTCACTACATTTTAATAGTGCTATAGAAACATCTGCTCTAGCATCTATCTTCCTTCCCTCCCCTTCTCACCCTTTGCCCAACATCCCCCACCCCTACTGGGCTGGAACGCCTGAGATAAGTAGGCTGGGACTACACTGAACTACAGCCTCAGTCCTAACATTAATTTCTGTCAAGTTTACTCAAGGGCCTGTTCCAGTGGAGATAGGGGTAACATACAATGAAAAAAACCTAGCTTCTTGTATATCTGAGTTAAATTTTTTCCTTTGCTATTTCTTTTGTGACTTTAAATAAATTGTTCAGTTTTTCCATGTTACAATTTCTTCGTCTATTAAGTCGAACACGCGAACTTGTAGTAGAATTGTTGTGAGAATTAACTGAGAATTTACTTCATGCCATGCATTAAGTATTGTATGAATATTAACTAGTCCTCATAACAAATAGGTGAGAGCCAGTACTCCCTCCTACAGATTAGGAAACTGGTAACAAGTAGTTTGGTTATGATCATGGGCCACTAAGTGGGGGAGTCGATTTTCTTTTTTTTCTTTTTTAATTTTTTGGGTCCAGTCATGGGGCCTGAATTCTGGGCCTGGGAGCTGTCCCTCAGCTCTTCAGCTCAAGGCCAGCACTCTACCACTTGAGCCACAGCGCCACTTCCGGCTTATTTCTTTTTGCTTATGTGGTGCTGAGGAATGGAACTCAGGGCCTCAGGCATGCAAGGCAAGCGCTCTACCACTGAGCCACCTTCCCAGCCACAGGGGAGTTGATTTTCAGCCTTAGTAGTCGGTCTCCAAAATCCTACAAGCAGTTCTTTTCAGTGTGTGATGGGGACCTTTAATTGGTATGCTCTGATACTGACTCCTTATTCCTGCCTGCCTTCTTCCCTTACCATCAAGAATCTAGCCCAGATGCAGGGCCTGTATTCTTCCACTGGGTTCTCTTGCCTGTTGCTGGTTTTCTCTTTAGAACTTCAGGACAATTGTCAGGATCCTTGTATTGTACCTGACGTCTAGCACTTTATTTTCAAGGTGGACATCTTCAATAAGGAGCTACTGTTAATTCCTATCCACCTGGAGGTGCATTGGTCCCTTATTTCTGTTGACGTGAGGCAGCGCACCATCACCTATTTTGACTCACAGCGCACCCTAAACCGCCGCTGCCCTAAGGTCTGAGGGGAATAAGGGAAGATGGATAGAGTTTGGGGAGATACAGTGAAGTGGCAAGGCATTTCACCCAAGAAATGGCTTTCAGTCTCTGACTTGAATGTTATTTGCCAATACCATACCCTGGATTCATTTGAGCAAGGAAACGCATCACTTTCTCTTTTTCCCTGTCTAAATAGCATATTGCCAAGTATCTGCAGGCAGAGGCAGTGAAGAAAGATCGACTGGATTTCCACCAGGGCTGGAAAGGTTACTTCAAAATGGTGAGTTACCAGGAAGAATAGCATGGGGTGATGGTAGGGGGTAGTGCGTAAAAGGCAGATACTGGGGGCATATTCTTGGGAGGCTGCAGATGAATGAGCTTGCTTTTTATTTTGTTAGAACGTGGCCAGGCAGAATAATGACAGCGACTGTGGCGCCTTTGTGTTGCAGGTAAGGACATGGGGTTCCTTAGCTTTGGATTTACTGAGTTAAAGGGGGGTTACAAGCTGGGCACTGGTGGCTCACACCTGTAATCCTAGCTACTCAGGAGGCTGAGATCTGAGGATCATGGTTCAAAGCCAGCCTGGCAGGAAAGTCCAGGAGACTCTTCTCTCCAGTAAACCACCAGAAAACCTGGAAGTGGCGCTGTGCTTAAGTGGTAGAGCGCTTCCTTGAGCTGAAGGAACAGTGCCCAGTCCCAGAGTTCAAGCTCCACAACCAACAACAACAAAAAAGAGGGGGTGTGGATTTATGGGACTGTTGATTCATTTAGCTCAGAACCAGTTGTGGAGTCAGGAGTTGCCAGATGTGTTAGAATACAGGATATCTACTTCTCTCAGAGGCTTTGGGTCTCTGGCCTTTGACTCTGGATTTGACACAGGTGCCTAAATCTGACTTAATATATTTTTTCTCACTTGCACCAAGAAAAGCTTTAAAAAGAACCAAGCTTATTTTAACTAAGCCTGGTGCTCTCTCTCTATATAAAATGAGAATGTTCTCTGAAAGATTAAAATGTTAAAGGTATAGCCATAGGTCTTCACTTTGGAGGATTACTCAGTACCTGATTCTCATGACATACTTTGTTAACATCTAGTACTGCAAGCACCTGGCTCTGTCTCAGCCATTCAGCTTCACCCAGCAGGACATGCCCAAACTTCGTCGGCAGATCTACAAGGAGCTGTGTCACTGCAAACTCACTGTGTGAGCGTCGTGCCCCATGCCCTGAGCCCATTAATGGGCAGGGGGACGTGGGAGATCCTTCCCAAGAAACTCCAGTTCCAATCCAGTTCCCTTTGGTTTGTTTTGTTTTTCATATTTAAATGTTTAAATTGACTTCTGTATTTTTTTTCCTTTTTGAGAGAATACTGATTTCTGATGAGCAGGGCGTGGCCATGGAAAAGCCCTTTTCTCACCTCTCTATAAGGGGAACTTTGCCTTGTGGCCTGCGTGGAGCAGTCATTCCCCCTTCCATGTTCAAGAGACAGGAAAAACGTGTGGGGGTGGTGGGCAAGCAAAGGGATTACTGCCTGCCAGATCTTCAAACCTTTTTTTTATATAAATATATATATAAATGCCATGGTCCTGCTCTGGTCAATAAAGGATCCTTTGGAGATACATAACGGTGGTCTTCCTTAAGGTTTCAAACTTGTGGATGTGCTCTCGCTCAGGCCTTCAAGCTATGGTTAACTACCCATTCTGGGATCTTGAGACCTTCGAAACTAGTTTTCCATACTTGGCTCTGACAGTGTCAACACCCTATTATTCTCATCACCCAAGCAACTCCCCCTGCCAGGGGTGAAGAGAGTAAGGAGAAAGTTAAAGTTGGTACCTCAAAAATAAGGGAGCTTAAGGGATAGCACTCAGGCCCTGAGTTAGCCCCACGACGGACAAAAAATAAAATAAGGGAGCCTAAGAAGAAAGCTGGAGAACAAGAGGCGACTGAAGGGACCACGGACCGAGGGGATGGCCAAGCTGAGTAACAGCTGCCCACATAACAACATACCCTTAAGCCAAAAAGTTCCCACTATCCAGAGGAACTTTCCCAGTTCTTGGGCCCGCGCATTCCCACTCCACTTAAGAAGCCTGGGCTGTGTTGGGTCTGTCTGCTGCTACGGGGAACAAAACTTAGGAAACCTTTCGCTGAGGTAAAGGGAAGTGACATTCCCAGGAGCGCGGAAGTCCCTGGAGGCTTGAGACCTCGCCCCCTCTGCGCGATAGGGCCTCCCGAACCACATGACTAGGCCACGATCGCCTCCGCACGTGTAAGGGTGCAGGGCCCCAAGATGGCTGCCAGGCCTCGAGGCCAGACTCCTGTATGTCACTTCCGTGCCGGCGAGAGAGGCGGGCCCGCTAGCCAATGAGGCTGTGAGGCGGGTCTTCAACTTGATAGGCATCCAAGGTACCCAATGATAGCTGCGAACCTTAGCGTCTACGAACTAACGTCACGCCGAGTTGCAGAGGGACGGCGGGCGGGGCCGAGGCGGCCAAGCCAATGCGATGGCTGGGGCGGGGTCGGGGGGCTCTATAAGTTGTCGATAGGCGGGCACTCCGCCCTAGTTTCTAAGGATCATGTCTGCGAGTCAGGATTCCCGGTAAGAATAGGCGTTTGCAAGAGCTTGTGGCTACTTACCCCATCGTTCCCGTTTGAGGACCCTCCTGGGGCCCAACCTACCGCCCCAGGTCCCCCGGGGTTACGGGGGAAACCGCCCAAGGGGCAAAGGGGGGAGATCCTGCGGCCGACGTTGCCAACGGGGTCGAGGCCGAGGGAAGGACGGCCCGGCTAGAGCCGAGCGAGCGAGGGTCGTCTCGAGTTCTCGTCTTAGGCGGTCCCGTGCGCGAAACCCTGCCTCTCAGTGGCCGGACGAGGTCGCGACCTGGCGTGGGAAAGCGGCGGCTGCGTGGCGCGGAGCCGGCCGGGCGCTGCCTCTCCACCGGGGGCGGGCTCGCGCGCGGGGCTGCCGGAGGGTTCCGACGGCACCACTCGCGAGGGACGGGGGAGCCCGGATCCGTGGCCACGCCGCGACTCGGTCGCCGTTGAGATGTGGGTCGGGGGAGAAGAAACCGGCCGGAACAGTGTGCTGGTTTTCTTGACGGCCAGGACTGACCCTAAACCCGAGGAGCGGCCGCGTGAGGCACCAGGAGCCCACCCGGCGCCGGGCGGGCGGGTCCATTTTGCCGCACAAGCTGAGCAATTGGCAAACTGCGGATGGGCAGGTCCACTTAACTTCGGGGGTGAGCGGCCTGAGGTACGGGAGGGCGACGCCATTTCGCGACGGGGCGGGCGGGAGGTGGATTGTTCCATGGAGTGGGGGGTGGGGGAAGACGCTGGGTGGCCGACGGAACGAGCACATGGCGGCTTGAGGGGTTCCCCTCCCCCCGTCTGCTTTGCTTCTAAGTGTTGTGCAATCCCCCCCTTGCTAGCTCGACTGGGGCTCATTGTGCGCGAGGCCGCCACCGCCCGCGGCCTCCCACATCCGGGCACCGCGAGGGGGGAGGGAATCGGCTGGAGGAAGTCGGGGGAGGGCGTGGGCGGAATGACGTGGGGGGAAGGGGACGTCCTATCGGGTCTGGGAGCTGAGGGGCGGGACTTCCGGTTTTCTCTTGCCGCGAAGGGGAGGTGCTCGCGATTGGGCCTTGAATGGTGAACCCCAGTACACGTGGGCTGGGCGGCAAAACTACATCCGGGCACTGGACGTGACGATACTCCTACCGGCCCGACCCTTAACCAGTTTCCTTATTTTGTGGAGGTGATCAGGTCCCCTACTTATTTTTTTGAGTGGTTCGGAGTATCTTGGAAACTGGTAGGTGAATCAGGGAGTGAAGGCTGATAGACCTAATGCTCGCCCTTTTGCTGATAAAGCTCAATTTTTAAATCTACAGATCCAGAGACAATGGCCCCGATGGGATGGAGCCAGAAGGTGTCATCGAGGTAAGACTGACACCTTCCTTTTAGCTTTACATACAAAGCCAGTAGGGTTTCTTTAACTAAAGGCTGGAGGGCTTGTGAAAGTACGAAGTTACCATTTAGGTCTTAATGTCTTTGCCTCCTGCAGAGTAACTGGAATGAAATTGTTGACAGCTTTGATGATATGAACCTTTCGGAGTCTCTCCTCCGTGGCATCTATGCCTATGGTTTTGAAAAGCCCTCTGCCATCCAGCAACGCGCCATTCTTCCTTGTATCAAGGGTAAGGCATTTCAGCCCCATCAGAATTGATTGTGGACTCTCCCTGTTCTGGGCAAAGTGGCATCAACTTCATGGTGCTTATCTTATATCAGCCAGGGGCAAAACAATCCCATGTTTATCCCAGCATGGCTTTTGATCTGTGCCTTTGTCTGGTTCATGCCTTGGACACACATATTGCTGTTTATGTTTACTAAACTATGTCTCATGAACCAACCCAAAATACATGTATGGCGAGAAGTAAACTAATGCTTTGTTCTGTTCAGGTTATGATGTGATCGCTCAAGCCCAATCTGGGACTGGGAAAACAGCCACATTTGCCATATCGATTTTACAGCAGATTGAATTAGATCTAAAGGCCACTCAGGCCTTGGTCTTGGCCCCCACTCGAGAATTAGCTCAGCAGGTAAGTGTCATCTTTCCATCAAAGGGTTACTTTATAAGACAATGAACTTAGCGCCACCCCTACACCAAAAATTTCCACTGCATTTAGGGGATGAAGAGATACTCTGGTTGAGAGAAATGATTGGGTCCTAGTTGTTGGGATAATTATAGGATGTTTTCTACCCAAATATAACCATTTCCTGAGTCAGATGGGAAGGTTTCTGGGTAGAGCCCAACTGGCTAGGCGAGTTTGATGGTTATTTTATAAACAAACCCCCTGGCAATGGGCAAAGAGACACTTCATTGGTGGTGGTGGCTCTTATCAGTCAGGGGCAGAATATGTGATGATCCTTTGTTCATCCTAGCTTGATGCCTCGATCAGTGGCCAAAGCTGTTTCATGCCTAGGGCACAGAAATTTGTCAAGATTGTTCTTTGAGACTTGGAACAAAAAAAATAACATTAAGACTTAATGCTTTGTGAGGCTCAAAAGTTTTCAGTAAAGGTCACGTAGCTTGGGCTTTGTAAAAGCAAGTATGCGATCGACCACAGGTATGCCTTCGTGGTCAATAAATGTTTCTGAGTTCTAAATAGGTTACAATTTTCAGAAAGTTGAATTTTTTTTTCCTTTTTTGGTCTGTCTTGAACTCTGGGCTCACTGTCAGCTCTTCAGCTCAAGGCTAGTATCTACCACTTGAGACACAGTGCCACTTCCGGTTCTATGGTAGTTTATTGGAGGTGGTAAGAGTAATGGACTTTCTTTGAAACTTCAGGCTGGCTTTGAACCGTGATCCTCATATCTGCACCTCAGTAGCTAGAATTACAGGCATTAGCCACTGGCACCCGGCTTAACCTATCTTAATTGTGTCAAGTGATGAGATATAAAAGAAAGTAGGTTTCATTGTGAATAAATACATGGAAAAAACCACTTAAGATAAGACTGTCACAGCTCTTATCAGTCAGGCACTGGTGGCTCACGTCTCTAATTTTAGCTACTCAGGTTGAGATTTGAGGATCACAGTTCAAAGCCAGCTTGGGCAGGAAAGATCATGAGACTCTTCAATAAACACTAGAAAGAAAACCGGAAGTGGTGCTGTGGCTCAAGTGGTACAGCACCTGCCTTGAGCTGAAGAGTGCAAGGGCAGCATCCAGGCCCAGAGTTGAAGCCCCAAGACCAAAACACAGAAAAAAAAATACCTTGTTTTTTTCTGTTTTTAGATACAAAAAGTGGTCATGGCATTAGGAGATTATATGGGTGCTTCCTGTCATGCCTGCATTGGGGGCACCAATGTACGTGCTGAAGTACAGAAGTTGCAGATGGAAGCTCCCCATATCATCGTGGGTACTCCTGGCCGTGTATTCGATATGCTTAATCGAAGATACCTGTGTAAGTACTATTTTTCAATTGGAGTCATCTATCTATCCTTTCTCAAACTTATTTTGCCAGAAATCTTTGCAGGAATAGGTTTTCCTTTCTTGAGGAGATGCTCTATGATGAATCCCATGCGTGTCATCTGAGCCTAACTTCCCTGTTGTCTTGGGCCCTGTTAGTGTTCTACTTCCCAGGGCTGTCTGGCCAGTCAGGGAATTCCTGGGCAAAGGATCAGTCCTTAAATTCTGAGAGCAGGCTTCCTGTCAAGTTTTCTATTTAGCAGGAAGTGGCTTAGATTTCACACTTTTGGTAACTAGGTGTTTGTATTAATGCATTGTAGCTCCCAAATACATCAAGATGTTTGTACTGGATGAAGCTGACGAGATGTTAAGCCGTGGGTTTAAGGACCAGATCTATGATATATTCCAAAAGCTCAACAGCAACACCCAGGTGAGGAAGTGGGCGAAAGCAGAGCAGGTGCCAAGGAGCTGCGTGCGGCCTTGAGGCTCTCCTAACCTCTTAGGCCTCACTGGGGACAGGCATGACATATCTACCCACCCTGAGGGGTGATCTTTTTTGCCAGGTGGTCTTGTTGTCTGCTACAATGCCTTCTGATGTGCTTGAGGTGACCAAGAAGTTCATGAGGGACCCCATTCGGATCCTTGTCAAGAAGGAAGAGTTGACCCTGGAGGGTATCCGCCAATTCTACATCAATGTGGAAAGAGAGGTGGGGGCCAGTGCAGGTGGCGGGCCTGATAGTAAGTTGTGGGGTATAGCCCCTGACTGATTTTTCTCCCATCTTCAGGAATGGAAGCTTGACACATTGTGTGACTTGTATGAAACCCTGACCATCACTCAGGCAGTCATCTTCATCAACACCCGAAGGAAGGTCGACTGGCTTACTGAAAAGATGCATGCCCGAGACTTCACAGTATCTGCCATGGTGAATTTGCTTTAACGGTAGTGTGTCTGTGTATGTTACTAGTTATCTGCTGCTATAAATTATGTTGTGTACTTTCTAGCATGGAGATATGGACCAAAAGGAACGAGATGTGATCATGAGGGAGTTCCGGTCTGGCTCTAGCAGAGTACTGATTACCACTGACCTGCTGGTGAGTAAGGATTGAGAGAAAAATGGGAAGAGAATCCAAGGTGATTCCCTCTCCAGGGGGCCAGCTAGTGCCTCTCAGGAAAGTAGCAACTTGGAAGAGAATGTGGCATGCCTAAACATTCTGAGGAACAGGGGATGCATGTTTCCTTTGCCTTCCTTGGGCTGCCTACATGTATACTTTACTAAGTCTCTGGATAGATTGCATTCTCATTTGTCTTTCTTGACACAGGCCAGAGGCATTGATGTGCAGCAGGTTTCTTTAGTCATCAACTATGACCTTCCAACTAATAGGGAAAACTATATCCACAGGTGAGTGTGCCTGGGCACTGGTCCAGCTCCATTACCCCATCCCTGCCTGCTGACTACATGTGCTGGTATCCCCCTTTCCCACTCCATCATTCTTTTTCCAGAATTGGTCGTGGTGGTCGCTTTGGTCGTAAGGGTGTGGCTATTAATATGGTAACAGAAGAAGACAAGAGGACTCTTAGAGACATCGAGACCTTCTACAACACCTCCATTGAAGAAATGCCCCTCAATGTTGCAGACCTCATCTGAGAAGGGCTGTCATGCTACCTGGCCCCAACCAGGATTGAACCCTGGTCAGGCTAAGGAGCAGCTGGAGGGGGGAGGGAAGGGGAGCCAAGGGATGGACATCTTGTCTTTTTTTTCCCTTTTTTTTCTTTGAATAAATGTCACTTTTTGAGGCAAAAGAAGGAAACGTGAACATTTTAGACACCCTTTTCTTTGGGGTACGCTCTTGCCCCAGGCGCCGTCTCCTCCCAGAAACACTAATCCATTTCCTTAACCTAGTCACCTCCTGATCCCAGAGGCTCTCCCACCCCAGTTGGATCCCTCTGAAAATGATTCAAGGGGTTATAACATGTCAGCTTAACCTCATTTCCTGGACCAAAGCAGGGAGAAGCCCTGCATGAGGTGTCCAGGGGACTGTCCCTAGGTAGGGGGAGCAGGGGAGAGAAAATGGTAGCCATTTTTACATTGTTTTGTATAGTATTTATTGATTCAGGAAACAAAACACAAAATTCTGAATAAAATGATTTGGAAAGTGCCTGTTTGGGCTTTTCTGTTCTTCCCTTCCCCTCATACTTCGGTTCATTAGCATCCCGTTTGGTAGCTAATTTTTTTTCTGGTCATGGGGCTTGAACTCTGGGCCTGGGTGCCATCCCTGAATTCTTAAGCTTAATGTGAGTACCACATGAACCACAGCACCACTTTTGGTTTTCTGGTGATTAATTGGAGTCTCACAGACTGACTGTAAACCTGCAATTCTTAGAATTCAAGTCTCTTGAGTAGCTAGGGTTATCAGCCTGAGCCACCAGCACCCAGCATTCACTAGCTGAAATTTATATGTATTGGCCTTCCTATTGCAAGGCTGAAAATGGGGTTGGGTACATAAAGTCACAAGCTTCTCATGTGCTTCCATTAAAGAGGAAGTGGTGAGGTCAAAAGGGGAGAAAAAGTACATCTAGGGCCTCCTGAGTTCTTGGGAGAAGCCCACTTGGTCAGCAGGTCAGGCCCTGCTTTCTGAGGTAAGCAAAGGGCTCTGAGTCAACCACTTGCTGCCTCTAGGCTCACGTTATGTGACAGGACACCTCCCACTTGATGCAGAGCCAATAGTACCCTAGCAATTTTCGATGAGACGGACAGGTTCCTGAGTCAGGTGGGTGGGGTCTGGTTGCAGAAGTCCAGGCTTTCGTTTCCTCTTCAAGAGAAAGCAGAGGAATTAGGTTTGAGCAGCTGGAGTTTGCACAGCCCGGCTGGACTGCTTGAAACTAGTCTGCCATGATGCTGCTGGTGTTCCCCATGGCTTTGCTGGGTCTACTAGCAGGTAAGAGATGCCAGGAGGGAGGGAATCCCCTGGGAAGGAAGCCCCTTGCTTAGGATGCTAACAAGTCTCTGAAAGCCCAGGGAATGGAGAATGGCTGTCCTGAGAATGACTGTCCTCACAAAAAATCTGCCACTCTGCTGCCGTCCTTCACGGTGACACCTACGGCTACTGAAAGCACTACAAGGCCTACCACCAGCCCTGTACTCTCTACCACCAGCCATCAACCCACCACCAGCAGCCATGGAAATGTCACAGTTCATCCAACACATGAAAGCACTACCACCAGCCCTGGACCTACAGCTGTCACTCTGAATCCTGCCAATATCACCAGCCATGGAAATACTACCATTCACCCCACCACGGGCAACAGCACTGCTACCACCCCAGGATACACCAGTCCCTCCCACCCAAGACCACCTCCACCCTCTCCAAATCCTAGCCCAGGATCCGAGGATACTATTGGAAACTATACATGGACTAATGGTTCCCAGCCCTGCGTCCAGCTCCAAGCCCAGATACAGATTCGAATCCTGTATCCAACCCAAGGTGGAGAAGAGGTAAAGCTAAAACGGCTGGGACACAGGATGGGAGAGGGGCAAATTCTGTTGCTGAGAGGGAGGAAGTGAGAGACAGAACCTTGGATGACAAAACCATTTAGTCTTAAGACTACTCTTTTTACTTCCATAGGCCTGGGGTGTCTCTGTACTGAACCCCAACAAAACCAAGGTCCAAGGGCACTGTGAGAGTGCCCATTCCCACCTGCTTCTCTCATTTCCATATGGAAAGCTCAGCTTTGGATTCAAGCAGGTATATCTCCACACCATCACTCATTGACCTTCCCAGTACCCATGTCTTCCCAGTCCCTCTGCCTCATTCCTTGCTCTGAAGATAGCAGTGTCCCTCCTCCTGATGCCCTGAGCCTTCCTGTTCACCTCCCAGGACCTGCAGCAGAGTCAGAGTATGGTCTACCTCAACTATATGGCAGTGGAATACAACGTATCCTTCCCCAAGGCCACAAGTGAGTATCTTCCTTCCCATTCTCATTGTTAGCCTTAGGTGGCTGGTTGGGAGTGGAAGGCAGATTTGGACCTGATCTCTTCATCTGTTTAGAGTGGACATTCATGGCTCAGAATACATCACTTCGAGATCTCCAAGCACCCCTAGGCCGGAGCTTTAGTTGTGGAAACGCAAGCATAGTTCTTTCTCCAGATATTCACCTTGATCTGCTCTCCCTGAGGCTACAGGCTGCTCAGCTGCCCCATTCAGGTGTCTTTGGGCCAAGTAAGAATTACCATTTAACTTAAATTCTCCCACTACACAGGAAGGACCCCTCTTCCCAACTCCAGATCTCCTTTTTTGTCTCCCATTTTAATTTCCCAGATTCCCCTGTGTTGGGTCTGCCATACATATTGAGCAACTGTCCTGTATTCTGCAAGAATTACCCATTACTATTGTGTGTTATCGCCCACACAATTCCACTATTCCCCAGTCACCACAGCAACAATGCCTACTTGTCCTCTTTCTGCCAGGTTTCTCGTGCCCCAGTGACCAATCCATCTGGCTGCCTCTCATCATTGGCCTAATCCTCCTCGGCCTCCTCACCCTGGTACTTGTTGCCTTCTGCATTGTCCGAAGACGCTCTTCCACCTATGAGCCCCTCTGAGCATTTGCCCCATCCCCCAGTGTATCAGGTGGCACCCTCATTTCCTCACTCTGTAGCCAACTCAAAAGACACTGTTATCTTCCCTGTCTTTTTTTTTTTTTTTTTAACAAAATGAGAGATTCTGTAATGGAAATGGGGGGGGAGGGTGTTATTATATGTGCTAGGTTTCTTCCTATCCCAGGAGAATAATAAAAGTCACTCCAATCTTTGTCGTTGGTTTCTCTTGTCTTGCCAGGATTAAAAGTCATGAGTTTCTTGTCATGTGCCTTTCTGTGGTTGAGTCATAGGGAACTAAAGACAGCTGGCAAGAACAAATGAAACTGTCATGTGTAAGTGTCTTCATGCTGACCATGGCTTGCACCATCAAGCACAGTACAAGCCCTACTCTTCACAGTAGGACATGGTGCAATAACCCCCCACGACCCACGGAGAGGTGCTCAGGCCGGAGCCTTATCAGCCCCACTACTGCTTCTAAGATGCCCGGAATATCCGTGCTGACCACAGAGCCTTCTGAGACACCAGGGAGTCTCCACTAGAATGGCTGGGGTCCTGGTGCCAGGTGGCTGTGGCCCAAAGCTCCCATTGGTAGCATCCCAAGGTGCCCTTCCTAAAGCAGAGGTGCCAGGGCCCACTTATTCCCAATTTAAATGCTTGTCCCGCGCGTGGCACCCTTGCTGCCATCCCTATGGGAGTTCCTGCCTAAGCCTTTACAGAAGCTTCCAGATCTGGGGCCCTGCATGATGGGGGGGGGGGGCAGGTGGGGGCAAAGAGACTGATCTCCCGAAGCTGAGCCCACTACCTTCTGTCCCACATGGCTCCTGCGCGCAAGGCAAAGCATGAGGGCTGGCCAGCGCAGATTGGTCTACTCCTACCAGCTCTACTCCCCCTGGAAATGCCTAAAGGGCCGGGGGAAGGGGAGGGGGTGTGTTGAGAACTCCAAAGACACCCCCAACGCCATTTTGGGGATATATATACTCCTTTCCTCAACTTGAAGCAATGAAAAGTTGGCTGGGAGAGCAGACAAGATGGCGTATAAGCGGAAGGGGCGGAGAAAGGCAGAGGGATAAACCTTGTTTCCGAAATGGAAGCATAAACAAAGGCACGAGAGGGGTAACTGCGCAGGAGTACATCTCTGGCTCGCTTCCAAGCTCGAGCTTCAGGACACACGCAAAGCGCGATCTCAGCGAGAGCGGTTTTACCCTGTGAAGGGATAAGAGACGGTGAAAGCCTGGGAGATGCGGGCAGATCCGGGGGCGGGGCCTGGGGCGCGCATGCGTCATGCGACCCTATGGCGCTCTGCAGAAACTGGCGGAAGTTAGCGTTCCAACATGGCGGCTGAGGCAGGCGGACCGCTCAAACGGGCCCTGGTGCCGATTCTTTTACCTGAGAAATGCTACGACCAGCTTTTCGTCCAATGGGACTTGCTCCACGGTGAGTTTTATTTAGCCCCCAGTTAAAGGCTTGCTTGGCCGACCTTGCACCCGACGTAGGGCGTGACTGGCGACTAAAGTGACGGGAGCGGCAGCTCCCAGCAGGAGCTGGGCGGAAGGCGTTTCTGAGGAGGGCGGAAGTGTACTGGCCGGAGGCGGAGGCTATATTTGGGCAAGAGGGGGTGACGCCGGGTGACTTCCTGGAGGGAGGGAGGGAGGGAGGGAGGGAGGGTGTGTGTGTGTGTGTGTGTGTGTGTGTGTGTGTGTGTGTGTGTGTGTGTGTGTGTGTGTGTGTGTGTGTGTGTGTGTGTGTGTGTGTCTGTGTGTGTCTGTGTGTCTGTGTCTGTGTGTCTGTGTGTGTCTGTGTGTCAAGCTCTTTTTATCGTTTTCACTCAAGTGTGTGTGTGTGTCTGTGTGTCTGGGTGTGTCTGTGTGTCAAGCTCTTTTTATCGTTTTCACTCAACGCTGCTCCGAACTTCAATTGTGGCTTTTTGCTGGTTATTTGGAAATCAGGAATCTCTTGTATATGTCTGCCCAGTCTGGCTTCGAACCGGGATCCTTGGATTTCAGGCTTCGGAGTAATTAGAATTACAGGCGTGAACACCAATGCCTGGATCTGAAGGCTTACATTAGATTAAAAAAAAAAAAAAGCAAATAAAAATCTCATCAACCCAGTTTGGCCTCTGCCCCACAGTGCTTCCAGCCTGTAATCTTAGCCATTCAGGAGGCTGAGATCTGAGGAAGCCGAGTTCAGAGCCAGCCCAGGCAGGAGATTCTAATTAACCAACAGAAAACTGGTAGAGCATTAGCCTCGAGTGAAAAAAATGTTCAGAGACAGAGCTCAGGTCCTGAGTTCAAACCCCACAACGGACCAAAAAAAAAAAAAAAATGTGGCCTTTGCTGCATCACTGACCAAGATCAAACTTAATTGGAAGCCTGTGATGAAACAGACCTTTCTGCATCACTCTGAAAACTCCTGATATTCTACTTTCTTTACGCCCAGCCTTCACATAGGCTCATGATCTTAATTTTGGAATATTTTCCCTTCCTCTTTCTGTTTTGAAGTATTCCCACAGCACAAGGTTCACCCTGGATATTAGTCCTTTTAGGAAGTCTTTTTTTTGGGGGGGTCCGGTCGTGGGGCCTGAACTCTGGGCCTGGGCGCTGTCCCTCAGCTCTTCAGCTCGAGGCTAGCACTCTACCACTTGAGCCACAGCGCCACTTCCGGCTTTTTTCTTTTTGCTTATGTGGTGCTGGGGAATCGAACCCAGGGCCTCATGCATGCAAGGCAAGCACTGTACCACTGAGCCACCTTCCCAGCCCCCTTTTAGGAAGTCTTGGTCTGTGCCACCCCACCCCCACCTCCGTACTCCCCATCAGTAGTTCACTGTCAGCCTCCTCAGTGATCTATCACTGTGTTCACACACCCACTCCCAGAGTACTTGGGGCCTCTTGCTTGCTAGGCAGGCACTTTACCACCAAGCCATTCCTGTACCTGACAGCATTCTTTGGGTGTGTGTGTGTGTGTGTGTGTGTGTGTGTGTGTGTGTGTGTAAAGGCGGGGGGGGGGGGGACTTTGAACTCAGGGCCTGAGTCCTGTCCCCTACTATTTTCTGCTCAAGGCTAGCACTCTACCACTTGAGCCACATCTCTCCTTATGGCTCTTTGGTGGCTAGCTGAAGATAAGAATCTTTCAGACTTTGCTACCCCTCAGATCTCAGTCTGAGTGACTACAGTTAACAGATGTGAACCATGGGCACCTGACCTATATTGCATTCATGATCCCTTAGTGGGCCAAGTTCCTTGGTGGGAAGGCTTGAGTGTGGGATAAGGTGGCTAGGGTATAAAAACAAGCTCTGGAAAGATAGATAAAGTCCATCAGCAAGAGCTAGAGATAATCAGTTTAGGAATGAATAAATGGAGACATTTTTGTAAATATGAGGTAGGATACTCTTGCTCTGAGGAGGAAAAAAAGGAGGGCTCTTGGGCATTACTGTGTTACCCAGAAGCAATGGGGCTGGGAAGGTGGCTCAGTGGTAGAGTGCTTGCCTTGCATGCATGAGGCCCTGGGTTCAATTCCTCAGCACCACATAAGCAAAAAGAAAAAAGCCGGAAGTGGTGCTGTGGCTCAAGTGGTAGAGCACTGGCCTTGAGTGGAATTGCTGAGGGACAGCGTCCAAGCCCAGAGTTCAGGCCCCAGGACCGGACCCAAAAACAAAAAAAAACAGAAGCAATGGAGAGACTTAGAAGTAAGGCCATAGAGTTTTAACTATTTATTTGTAGGAATGTTAAGATTGGGGGAAAAAAGCTGGGCACCAGTGACTCACACTTAGAATCCTAGTTACTTGGGAGGCTGAGATATGAGGATCACAGTTTGAAGCCAGCTTGGGCAGGAAAGTCCATGAGACTCATCTTCAATAAACAACTAAAAAAAAGCTGGAAGTAGCACTGTGGCTCAAGTGGTAGAATGCTAGCCTTGAGCCAAAGAAGCACAGGGACAGTGCCTAGGCCCAAATTCAAGTCCCAGACCAAGGGAACATGAGAAGGGGGAGGGCTCATTGGAAGAGAAGGCAATAGGGAAGTGAATCTGGTTTGGAAAGTCATCTAGTTGCATATGAAGTGATTTGGAGTTGGAAGGACCAGTGTCTTTTGCCGTGTGGTCATGCCAGGGTGAGGTGGAAAGGGAGGATAGCCCAGAGGAGCCCTTCAAGCCCTGGTCTGGGTTTCAGAGTTCTGCACTTTTTCTCTTCTCAGTTCCCTGCCTCAAGATTCTCCTCAGCAAAGGCCTGGGGCTGGGCATTGTGGCTGGGTCACTTCTAGGTATGTATCTTAATCCTCCCTTCCTACTGCTGGGAACAGAGGGAGCTCCCGGGGCTATATATATCCTATGGTTCCCTTCACAGAAGTGAAGTGAATATGCTTCCCAACACATTATGTAGCTGCCTTATTGTGTTGCCAAGGGATTGGGACTCCTCAGCTTAGCTCTTCTTATCCTTTCCCTAGTGAAGTTGCCTCAGATATTTAAAATTCTGGGAGCCAAGAGTGCAGAAGGGCTGAGTCTTCAGTCAGTATTGCTGGAGCTAGTGGCATTGACCGGGACTGTGGTCTACAGCATCACCAACAACTTCCCCTTCAGGTGAGAACCGCCTCCTCCTTTATCTCCAAGGGTATAGTTCTGGTGGGGGATTAAGGTTCAGGAAGGCCAAAGGGTAGGAAAGCTTAAGCTCTTCCAGAAGTTTCCACACCAACACCAGGGGGTGAAAAGTGAGATCTCAAAAATGCCCACCCTTATTGATGTCATAGGTGAAGGCTGTGTTTTGGAGGGGTCAGGGTACCCAAAACTGTGTCCCTGATGGACCGGCCATGGAGGCTTTCCCTGCCTCTTTCCAGGCCTGCCTTTCTTCCCCCCAACTCTTGACTCTGCAGCTCTTGGGGCGAAGCCCTGTTCCTGACGCTGCAAACAATTACCATCTGCTTCCTGGTCATGCACTTCAGAGGACAAACTGTGAAAGGTGAGGGGATTTGGCCCGTGGTTCTGGGAAGTGTGCCGAATGCCGAAACCTCAGGCCTGGGGAAGCTAGAAGACATAATGAGACTAATGATTCCTTGTTTCTGAACCTCAGGAGTCGCCTTCCTCGCCTGCTATGCACTGGTCCTGATGGTACTCCTTTCACCACTCATGCCTTTGGCTGTAGTCACTCTGCTTCAGGCCTCCAATGTGCCTGCTGTGGTGGTGGGAAAGGTGGGTATTGGGAGTGGGGTAAGGTCGAGGGGGGCACAGTGGAAGCCCAAAGGATGGGGATTTAGACTGAGGGGAATGGGAAAGTCAGAGATGGTACATGGTGCTGAGAACACCAAAGGTCTCAACTTCTCTCCTAGCTGCTCCAGGCAGCCACAAACTACCGAAATGGACACACGGGCCAACTCTCAGCCATCACAATCTTTTTGCTGTTTGGAGGCTCCTTGACACGCATCTTCACTTCCATTCAGGTGAGTGCACCTTCTGCCCTCTAGAGGGCACTAAAACTTCATCTTACCCCTCTCAGCTGAGGACTAAACCTTTGTCCTTAAGAGTAACCTTTCTTGAGCTCTACTGAAGGGCGGCTCTTTCTCACCACCAGGAAACTGGAGACCCCCTCATGGCTGGAGTCTTCGTGGTCTCCTCTCTCTGCAATGGCCTCATTGCTGCTCAAGTCCTCTTCTACTGGAACTCAAAGCCATCCCATAAGCAGAAAAAGGAACAGTAGGGCTGAGCAGCAGATCGGATCAGCTACTGGAATCATTCCTTGGTTCGGTCCATCCACTCAAGGGTCCACCCCATGTGAGCCTGTCTGCTGGTGTGACTTTTAGTCATCCATTCCTGGGCAACTGCAACTTCCTGAGCCATGGTTTATTTTTAGTGGAAACAGACAGTAAAGCTTTTCTAAGACCATTCACGTACTATCTACTCATTCTCATGTTTGGCTGAGTTGCCAGTTATTTTTCTGCCTCTAGAAGACAGGTTGGACCAAGGGGTAGAGGGACGGAGGTGTGTGGGGCGGGGCTTGTGGCTGCCTCCCTCCCTGAACCTGGCTGGAACTTTCTTCTAGACCCCAGTACTGGGAGTGGGGGAAGGGGGACAGAATGACTCAGGCAGGCCCCAGGGTGGGGTGAGGAGCTTCCTGCTCTGGCAGGTCCTGGCGGAAGGGAGTGGAGATGGCACTGGTTCCTGCTGCTGTGGAGTGATGGTGTATGGGACAATAAAGACTCGACACAAGATTTAATTGTACAAAAATGGGTTTAGTGTGGTTTTGCTTCGACTGTAAGCCTCTAAACCAAAATTCAGAGGGTTCTGTGATGGAAAGAGGATGTGGCGTTCATTTACCGAGAGGTCCATGTGTGTGAAAGGTGGGCTAGGGGCACGGAGCACCAGCAAGGGGAGTGTTGTATGGAGGAGAACCTGGGGATGGGTAGGGTGCATAGGGAGGTAGCAGTTCCCCCTGGAGCCTAGGGTCACTGTGAGGGAGGGAGCTTGGTGTGGAGGCCTCTGGTCTATAGTGCGAAGAAGAGCTGCAAAGAGAAACAAATGGGGGGAGGGGGGTGTTACTCCTCTGGGTTGTGGGGGACTGGTCTGGCCAGTTCTAAGTAGGCAGGGGTAGAACTCCAGCCACCCAGCCAGCCATGCTGGGTACATCAGCCATGGAACCAGACCCTAGCAAGGCTTAGGAGAGCAGGGAAGCCCTGTCAGGGCATGCTCAGGAGCAGGCTTGCGTGCTGCACGGCTGTTTTCCTCTTTTGGGGCAGAATGGGCTTGGCCTCTCCTTGCCCTGGAGGCTGGGAGAGGAAGCTGGGTCACACACAGGCCAGAAACCCGGGGAAATGGGGCATCCCAGTAACTACAACACACAAAGCTCAGTAGAGAAGGCCCTCTGGGGAAACCTGAGCCACAAGGACCCTCCCAACCGCAGCGAGGTGTGGCCTCGGAGGCCACCTCCACCCCGCTTTCCACTTACCCGTAGCTGCCAGGAAGGTAGGGTGTAGAGTAGTTGGGGGGCTGGTACCCAAAGCCTCTGCTCCCTTGGGTGGTTGTATATCCTGCTCCCCAGAGCGGGCCCCCACAGGCCAGGCTGTAGTTTCCCTTGCCGTAGTGGGCAGGCACGGGGCCCGAGCTCTTGGTTTTCCGCCGAGGCCGGTACTTGTAGTCGGGATAGTCGCGCAGGTGTCGGGCGCGCAGGCGCTTGGCCTCCTCCACGAAGGGCCGCTTCTCCTCCTCACCCAGCTGCTTCCACTGCGCGCCCAGGCGCTTCGAGATCTCGGAGTTGTGCATCTTGGGGTTCTGCTGCGCCATCTGGCGGCGCTGAGCAGAGCTCCACACCATGAAAGCGTTCATGGGCCGCTTCACCTTCTCCAGGGGAAGGGCCCCGGGGCTCCCGGCGCCATCCAGTTCCTGGGGGCCCGAAGAGGAGGAGGTACCAGCTGTAGGAGTCCCAGGCTCCAGGCTCCAGGCCTGGGCCTGTGAGGAGCCCGGTAGCGCCATGGTTTGAAGGGAAGCCTTAAAAGGGCGTCCGGAGTGTCCACTCCTCAAAGTAGGCTGCAACCCTCAAAATGCAGTGTCTCTCCGGTGTGGAGTTGTGGCAGAGACACTTACTTGGGTCCCTAGAAAGTAGCAATCGTCCGAAAGCCCAGAGTCCTTGAGAAGCAGCACACTTCGGGGAGCTGAATGCAGAATCCTCTGGCACCCCTACCCTGGGGGCGTCTTCCTTAGATCTCTTTTGCTTCCACGTTCCCCCCACCCCAAGCCCTAGTCGCCCTTCCCCTACCCTCTGCTGAGAAGTCAGCCCCGTGGAGGCTCCGAAGATCTGGCAGCTGCCAGGCACACAGCACAGGGACCAAAGGCCTTGCACCACGCTGCACCAGCGCTGTTGTGTCTGTGGCTGGCAAGCTAGCCTGGGAACAGCTTTAAGACTCCTCCCCAATCCCTCCCAGAGGCCGAGCTCGCATCCACCGCCCTTAGGCAAACCCAGGTGTCCCGGTCTCTGCAGCCCCAACACTTCCTCAGAGGCACCACGCCCTCCCTCTCCACCCAAGGCCTAAAACTCTGGGTTAGCTGTGCCAATTGTCTCCCCTCCCTTCTCAAGTACCGGCAATTCAAAGTCAATTCCTTTCCACAAAAGGATAAGTAGAGGGGCGTCAGATGTCCTCAGGGTTGAGCAGGAGGAACTAGTGAAGGCCCACTCCCAAATCGAACCCACGGCTTCCAAAACCCTTGACCTGCCCCTGGGGCGAGAAAAGGCAGGCGCAGGAGACAGGCCATTTTTGTTTCCTGAGTCATTCCAGCAGGTGCTTTGTAGGTGAATCAACCTTTCTCCAGGTGAGAAAACTCAAGGCCTCCCAACCCCAGTTCCCAGTGTGAGATTACTCCACTACCAGTGAATTATGGCAGGTTTTTTTTTTTTTGGGTCCGGTCGTGGGGCCTGAACTCTGGGCCTGGGCGCTGTCCCTCAGCTCTTCAGCTCAAGGATAGCACTGTACCACTTGAGCCACAGCGCCACTTCTGGCTTTTTTTTTCTTTTTGCTTATGTAGTGCTGAGGAATCAAACCCAGGGCCTCAGGCATACAAGGCAAGCGCTCTACCACTGAGCCACCTTCCCAGCCCCTATGGCCGGTTTTAACACAGGTATGAAGCCAGCAAACCCAACACAACTCCCAGGAGCTATGAAGCCAGCGATGTGGATGCTGGGAGCCAGAGCAGCACTCAGGCCAGGAAATGTGGGCTGGACCCCTGGGCTAGGAGCCCAGCTCCCCCAGCTGCCCAAGGCCCAACCTGTGCCCCAAGCCTCAGGTAATTGTAATCGGATTAAGCAGCCAGTCCCAGCTCTCAGTTTCCAGCAGCCAGCCTAGCCCACCATGACTCAGGGAACAGGAGTGGCCCAACACCAACAACCTACCAGCAACCAAGGGAGGAAGCTGCAGCCAGGCCTTAAGGCCACCCACTGCTGGACCAGCAGGGTCCCAGGGCCTGGGGACTTTGGGAATGTCAGGAATTCCCAGGAGACCATCTTTACACAGAGTGAAGAGTGGCCAAGTGTGGAGGAACAGAGATCAAAAGTCAGGTCCCAAGGCAGGTCAGTCCTGGAAATTCAATGGTCCAAGCAGGACAAGCAAGGCACAGGAACCACAGAACCATTTGGAATTTTTTATTCTCTTTTTAAATACTGTACAGTGAAAAATAAATACGCCTTCTCATCCACCACACAAGGTTAGATCCCCTTCCCCCTAGGGGACCTTGTCACCCCCCTTCATACACACCCCTGGTTCTACTCCAAAACCTTCCCCATGCCTCCCACCCATGGATACCCATACTATCCCCGTCTTCCACAGTGATGAGGCCCCAGAAACGGGGGATACAGGATGGGAGGAGGGATAGCAGGGGAGCCCCCCTGAACCGTCGAATCTGGGTGGGTCAAGGAGCACCCCCACCAACAGGAGGAGAATGGGGGTACTCAGAGGTTGGGGCATTAGAGGATAAAGGCACATCCAGTCTGATGGGGAAGGGGAGGCTCCCCTCACCCTGGGGGTAGGGTGGACAAGAGGGAGGGTGTATGACCCTGTTACACACCCCTCCACTAGCTCCTGGAGGTTGGGGGGGACCCAAGCTGCTGTGCCACCCCCCTCCCCCCTAGATAAGAGCAGCTCCAGCGCAGGTCAGTTGGGCCCATGAGGGCCATGGTGGTGGGCAGCAAGCGAGATGGAGAAAGGAGGGATGTGGGCTAGAGGTCTTATGAAACCCCATTAACCAAGCTACCCAACTCCAGGGGGGCGGAGAGCTCCCCATTCTCCGAGGGCCCCTTAGGAAGCTTGCTGACAGAGTCGCCCTAAGGAGTAAACAGAGGAATGAAAGGAGAGGAATGAAAATGGCTGGTCAGTAGGGCAAGGGTGGACATTTTCTCCACTAAACCCTGAGCACCTGCTCCCCGGCTTATCACCCTTGCAGTGCATCATGCCCCCCAACTTTCTTTTCCAATGTCTGCACTATCTTCAGTGCAGCCTCAACTCTACCAGATATAGCCATCTAGGCAACTAAGAGTTTTCTGGGGTTATTTTGGGGGCTTCCTGCTCCACAATAGTAAGAAGGAGTAGAGCACACTGCATCTTGCCAGCCTACCTTCTGTCCTGAAAGAGAGTCCTCTGAGGGTTTAGCTCCATCTAGAGGCGGCCGCTGCCGGCTCTGAGATTCTGCTCGTGAGATATAGTCAGCCACAGTCACTGGGGAAAGCAGAGGATCAAATGTTTCAGAAGGAACCCATGTATTCAGCCCCATAACTTCCCATGAACCATGCTGGGTTTCCACAGGGCATGTGGCATCCCGCTCTGCTGACCTGGCTGGCGGTCCCCACTGATAGACCCATCTGTCCGATTACCACGGTTGCGGCGGCGGCGGCTGCGATTACGACGTTGGGGTCTGGATTCATCTTCTGTGAGTGTGGAAAAACAAGGCAAACATTCACCCACTCAACCCTCATTATTAACCATTTCCTACTTCTTAAATTATGTACACCCCTCACCCAGGCCATTCTCCGTCATGTTGGGCCCATCAGACTCCAGGCCTCCATCCATGACAGTCCTGTCTTCATCAGTGCGGCGGCGGCGAGAGCGACGGCGCCTGGCACTTGCTGGGGGAGGCTCCCCAGGCTCTGAATCAACAGGGGGCTCAGGTTCCGAAGTGTCCAGGAGGCTGTAGGGATTACTGTCTGGATCCTTTAGCACTGAGATGAAGAAGCAGAGATGGGAGTCAGATGATCAAAGTCTCTCCATTGGGCCCACATTCACAACACCAGCTATCTTATACCTGAGCTAATTGATGAAGAGTTGTATCTTGAGGTGGGACGGGGGACAGGTGGTGGTCCCCTACCCCGGCCCCCAATCGGCCGCCTCCGGCTTTCTTCCCCTCGACTTTGGGGATCACGGTCACCAGGCCCAGCTCGGTTTGGCTCTTCTCTCTTCTCTGACTCTGTCTCAGATGCCGTGGACGGGTCTGAGCTGGGGCCTAGTGAACACAGAAGGGTTTACTCAGGGTCACAGACATCTTGCCCCAAGACCCACCACCAGCCTCAAACTAGTGCCCCCTTCTCATTCACAAGCACCTAGCCAAGCATTTCACCTCCATCAGTTTTCCAAGCTTCCACCCAGATCTCTGCATCTTTCACTGGCCCCACAGCTGTCTCACCATATGCAGGACCTCCAGTCCTCCGGCCCCGACCCCGGCCTCCATAGCTGCCCCCATAGGTTCTTGTCGTGTGGAGGGAGGAGGAGGAGCTCTCATCAGTGGTATAGCCAGCCTTGTCACTGCCACCACCACCACCCCGTCCACTACCGGGAGGGCGAAAGCCCAGACCAATCTGCCGAAGCTGTTCATCAATTTGCAGCCTCTCCAAGCGAAGTTGTTCTACCTCCTGGTTGGGAAAAAGATGGAAGACCACACAGAAGGAGAAACAGTATCTGTGATAATCACTACATGGCTAACCTTTCAGGAATACAAGAAGGAGGTAGATGAACAAGGAAATTTCCAGGATCTAACCTCACACCTAAAATATTCACCAATGGCTCTTACTCTGCAGAGACAAACTAGGTGCCACAATCCCAAAGTTTTCTGCCAGCAGTCCTCACCCCCTTGCTATACACAACCTGTCCCACACCCAGGCTTCCAGCATGGCCTACCTGCAGGTAGGAAAGATGATACTCCAGCAGTGCCTGGGCATTGCTGATATTCTCTCGGGTACCAACAAATATGAAGGGAACCATTCCCTGTGTAGAGCAGAGGCACACATCAAGAAAAGATGGTAAAACAGAAATATCACCACCATACAATGGGATTATAACCTACTATTAGGATAAACATAAGTTTCTGTGCTCCACCCTCTAGAAGTTCTTAGCCCTCAGAAAACAACCCCTCCCATCTGTGGAAACCAATCTCTAAGACTTTGGGTGCCATACCTCCTCCCTGGGGTTCTTCTTGTCATTATCACCTTCCACACGAACTCTCACCACACCAGATTTATCCACAATCTCCTGGATCACTTTCCCATTCTTTCCAATCACTTTGCCTGAATAAATAAAGAAGGAATTAGGCTCCCCCCACCTTTTTTAATGAAAGAAAGAATCAAACAGTCTTCTAGCCTCATCTCTCTTCTATGTCTAGGTATCTGATAAGGTTTCATGGAATCAAATACTACAATCTCTACAAATGTATTCTATATTTACACTACTATGACAAACTATTTGCTTTGTTAAGTCCACAGAATGGTGTCAATCCCAGCTGCAGATCTTCATCACTTTCAAGACTCTCACATCTGGCCTCTATTCTCTTTCATACACATACCCCAACTCACCAACCAGATTCCTGGGTACTTGCACAGAGTCCTCAGAAAATTCTAGGTAGCTCCGAGCCTGCCGGCATGCTTCCGGAGTCTATGGAAAAAAGAGTGGGGAACTGCTACTGAAACAGCAGACTTGGATCTCTTGGCTGTCACCAAAGTC